CTAGGAAGGCTCTTCGGGGYTTTCCAAGGACAAGGGTCATGCCCCTTTCCTTGAACAGGCTTTGCTCTGAGGTAGAGGCTAGTTTCTAAAAAATGGAGTCACATCAGTTTCTCAATACCTCAGTGTTGTACTCACCAAGCAACATGGAATTTCAAGTTCCCTGTGCTAGGCAGCCCTTATCTTAAGGATATAATTCAAATCCCTTAGCTCCACAAAGTTGTTTCCCAGCCTTATCTTCTACCCCTTGCCTATACCTCCAGCTATACTAAATTATTTGCATGATTGTTATACTGGCCACTCTATCACAGCATTTACTCTCCACAGCCAGCCACTGGTTTTTAAGACTGTGTAACTAGCCAAGGATGTTGGCATATATCTGTAATCTCAGCAACACAGGAAGCTGGGGCAGTAGGATCAAAAGTTTAGGGCTAGCCTGGGCAATGTGGCACGGACCATCTCAAAATAAAAAGAGTCAGGGGTGTAACTCAGTGGTAGAGTACCCCTGGGTTCAATCCCTATTTTAATTTCTATATCCCTAGCATCTAGCTCAGTGCCTAGCACATATTGAAAAACCATCCATGGAATAGATAAAAGAAAAACTATAAAATTGGCATTTTAAAAATGCTTGATCTGTTTCCATTTCCTAGGCTGACCTCTTATCCTAACATCTTTCTCTAAACAGCAGAATTCATGCTATGAGAATATTTCAGCCTCACTAAACTAACCCAGTAATTTTGGCTGATAGCAAGAGGTATAAATAGAAGTCAGAATAGCTGTCAGCTCAAAGTCTGCATTTCCAAGCAAAACAAGTAAATGCATTTTCAAACACTAAGTATATATCYCAAGGGATAAAAACTGGTCGTAGCCTTTGGCAATATGTCTGTTTTGCCTTAAAGCATACCTCTTCTTTAAGAGAAACCAKAAATTCTCATATATAAATAATTTATCAAGACTTACAGGAATATTTGACCAAGATTAAAATACAATGACAGAAATCATATATAAATATAAATATGTATTAACCCTGTCAAAGAGGTTAATACATATTTATAGAAAGTCAATTATTGTTAGCAGTACAAGTTAGATTTGGCTTTAAAGACAAAAAGAAAACAAGCCACTAAGTTACATTCCAGATCATTTGTTGAATATACAGAATTGAATAACATTATATAAAAAGGAATAAGGAAAACACTCAGCACTGAGATTAGTAACTATTTTCAGACAGAGGAGGCTTAAATATGTTAAAAGTGTAGGTAGCATTGAGAGGCAAGTACCACATTCAAACAGGATACAAGACAGAAGGAGACAGAAGAAAAATGGTGCAAGATTGAATAGCCATTTGTGTGAGGCTTTTTCAGGTTSAGTTCACATTTGGTTACTTCAGGTATTAAATGTTTATTGTAAGGATAAATGGAGACATCTGGCAGCACAATTCAGAGAACAAGTTGAGGTTACAACATTCTGAGACCAGCTCTAATAATCCAACAAATAGCACAGCCTGTCAAGTACTCAGTTTTTCTGCCTCTGCCATTCTTGGGTAGTTTTTGTTATTTTTTTCTCTTTCCTCAACTATCACTACCTCCTCTCTAATCATTTTGTTGAGTTCATAGCTTCTTCTGGATCTCTATTTTTCTAGCATTTCTGTCTTCTAATGCTATGTCCTAAACTCAAATTTGCAGTAAGAGAGAATCTAACTAGTCTGCAAGTCTCCATCAAAGACAGTGCCTCTACTGAGCAAAGCTCTCATGCTAACTGGTCCCATAGACTCTCTGAGGCCTACTGAAGGGTTGGCCATTATAGGGTTAGGCACCAATCATTGACCCATTTGGTGATGGCTGAGAGAAAAAAGTGACACAGTTCAGCAAAGCTTCACAAATATGCAGAAACAATTTTCTGCTTTTATACTCTAGTCTCAAGTTTATCTTATTGAACCAACCTAAATGATTTACAACAAAAGTCAGAAAGGAAAAGATTAAAGATAATGGCAAGAGGAAGAATGAGGTGGCCTTGTTCATATAGGTTGGGCAGGAAGAGAATGTCGAGGTTGGCCTCACAGAGCAATATCTCCTCCACAGAGCTAAGACAGGGAGAAAATGGCAAAATTAGTAATGCTTAATGATGTCCACTCTTCTTATAAAGAGAAAACATGACAATAGTTTCAGGATGAGAGAGATTAGGAGGTTAAGGATAACAAAGTTTTGAAAGAGTCATTGTATAAAATATATAAGTGGATGATATTGATTTTTAAAAATTGTCAAATATAGGACTCAGAGGTTCCAGTAATATATAAGCATGATTAATAGGAAGTCAAGTTGGATGCTCTCCCAACTCAAAGCAAGCAGACAATGTKAGGTTGAGGGTTGAGAGCAGGAAGGAGGTAAAGACTCTAGGATGTTGTATCCACAACTGAGACAGAGATCCAACAAGAACTGTGAATGGAATATGCATATGAGAATTTGGTAAAAGTGTTTATAACTGGATATAGTATATATGCTTACAAAAGAATGAGAAAACTTCCCTCTCACATTTTATTCTGTCTCCTTGTGAAGAAAGAAAATTAAATGTTGACTTTTTGAAAACAATTCTTAATGTAAGATAATTTATATGAAGCATGACTATTAGTTGGCAGAGAGGGATTTGATCTTATATAGCATCAATGCCTAGTAAAAAACTTTTTTGTTAATTATCCCAAGCCACTACTTATTTTTCTTGTTGGGAAAGGGGAGGAAAACTAATCTTTTTGCACAACCAGTACTTATCAGTTCCTACGGTAGGTGCTTTACATATATTCTCATTAATCCTTCTAGTAGACCTATAAGACAGTTATTACTGTCAGTAACCTACAGATGAGAAAACCAAAGCTCACACAGGTTAATTAATTTATTCAAGATTGTAATTCAAGTCTGAAGCCAACGCACATGTTCTTTTCAATAGGTCATACTGCAGAGAACTGAATAGGGAGATGTTGAGATGCATTCTGACTTTTTCCTATGGCCAAAGATTGGTGGTTATATAAAATATATATGACCTCTCTACAACAAATATGGGCACATAATTTATCAGTAACACATGATGAGGTATTTTGATAAGTCATGACATGCCAAATTGTTTATATAAAGATACTATTATAAGGGCTGGGGTTGTGGCTCAGTGATAGAGTGCTTGTCTAGCATGTGTGAGGCACTGGGTTCGATTCTCAGCACCACATATAAATAAAAAAATAAAATAAAGATCCATCAACAACTAATAAAAAAGTAAAGATACTTTTATAAAATATACCTACAAGGAGTATAAGGAGAGCCTGGGTTCTATAATTGACCAGTTGTACAATATTGGCAAGCTTCTTTCTTAACCTCTTTTGTGGGCTGTTTGTTAAATGAGGAATTTGGATCAGGTAGTGTCTAATGTCTCATTAAACTCAATTCATTCATCCATTCAGTCAATACACTCAGATTCTTCCATGTATCAAGTACCATTTTAGACAGTGGTAAATACAGTTTGGAATTCATGTAACTTACATTCTATAAAATTTCTGATCTTAAGACAGTAATTCTCAGGAAAAAAAAAAAGAAAGAAGGGGAAAAATGGTGGTAATTCTCAAGATGGTGAAGGGTGGTGACAAATTTTCCAAATATTTTTTGAAAGTATATCTGTACCAACTCTGAAAGAATAAGAAATATATACATATTGGTGGTTAGTCATCAGAAAGACTAAGCCATGATTATAAACTTGGAAATTTCAATGCTACTTTCCATTCTCCAGAGAGGGATGAGGGGCTACAAATTATAACAGATAACAACCACAGAATGAAGCCCCTATAAATATTCCTGACAATAAAGCACAAGGTATTTCCAGATTGCCAAATAGGTAGAGGTACCTGGAGGGTGGGTGCACCCCAAGATGGAAGCTCTGTGTCCCTTCCCCCATACCATCCCCTAGGCATCTCTTCCATCATTTGTATCCTCTACAATATCCTTTTAATAAATTGGTAAACAAGGTATTTCCCTGAATTCTGGGAACTGCTCTAGCAAATACACTCAGGCAAGGGGTTGTTAGAACCCAATTTATGGCTGGTCATTCAGAAATACACATCACAATCTGGAGGTTTCAACTGGCATCTGAAGTTGAGGGCTTTCTTGTAGGACTGGGCTCTCAAACTGTGGAATCTGATGCTATTTCCTGGTAATGTCAGAACTGACTTATAAACATACCTATTCGTGTCTGCTGAAAAATATGTCAGGAGTATTATGCTGACTAGTGTGTGAGAGTAAGATAAACACTTTGGTTTTTCCTGTCCCTAATAGTCTCCTATACCCCCCAGGGAGTAAGTGCTATGGAGAGCCAGTGCTATTAAGCATTTGCATTTGTGGTATCCTTTATGCAGGATGGCAGAAAAAAGGTTGAAAATTAGTGTTTTATGTAATACAATGAATGAAAGAGGAGTAGTGATATTGCTCTCTTTTCGAAGTCTGAAGGGAGATTCATTAAAAGAGCCAATTCTAGCCAGGTATGGTGGCATATGCATGTAATCCCAGCAGCTAGGGAGACTGAAGTAGGAGGATGAAAAGTTCAAAGCCAGCCTCAGCAAATTAGCGAGGCCCTAAGCAACATAGCAAGATCCTGCCTCAAAATAAAAACATAAAAAGAACTGCTCCTGGGTTTAATCCTTGATTCATATATATATATATGGAGTCAATTCTAAGCTTAAAGCAAGTTTGAAACACACTTCAATAGACCCTGATTAATTTTAATACCATGAACACTTGTACCAGAYATTAGAATGCATAACCATATTACTATAATCTTTCATTCTAAATTCATATGGCAAAATTATTTGTTAAAAAAACACTACTTTTGGGGCTGGGGTTGTGGCTCAGTAGTAGAACACTCCCCTCTCACGTGTGAGACCTTGGGTTYGATCCTCAGCACCACATAAAAATAAATAAACAAAATAAAGATATTGTGCCCATATATAACTAAAAAGATATAAAAAACCACTACTTTTCTTCTATGAATTTTAATATTCCAGGCCAYAGTCACTTTTCTGTATTCAAATACAAACAAATAAACAAACATTCATAATATAAAAGCATTTTGGTAATGAAAAGCCTGTGTATGTATAGTTACTCTTTCACAGGTTCTGAGAATCATCAAAAAACACGAAGTGTTGGGAAGTTAAAAAAAAAATTAGTTTTATCCCCCCACATCTAAAGGTTGGAACTAAAGCTTATGCTACAGTAAATACAAAATTTAACACAGAAATGTATATGACTTAAAAAAGTCAGTCATAGAATGTTTTATTTTAAACTTGCTGTTCAAACTTTCAAATACAACACATGTGGCGAAGAAACAACAGTTAACACACAACATCTGCCACAATTCTATCTTCAAACTGCCTTTTCTATAGTATATGATATGTTACAATTTCTTTCAATTTCTTACATTCATGGTATTCTTAAAGGCAGCGATGTCAATTTTCTACTTTGAAAGAGTTCTATTAATGTTCTAAAATTGCTTAAATGACAGCTTTTTCCTTTTAGTATTCTACTGCTGCCCACATTAGTGACATAATTCAGCATATTATTAATAAGTTGTTGAGAGGTATACTGTACTTAATAAATCAACTCCCAACTCTACATTAAATTGAACTTCAACCTAAAACAAGCATTTTCCTAAATCAGTATACTCAGCTACTTTTCTCAAAAATATTTTCATTCTGAAATAAGTTTTTATTTTTTTTCAGAGATACAATAGTTTCATCTTTGACTCCTAAAAGAACTCATGCCGTACTTTTTTTTTTTCTCAAAATACATTTGATATATTCTGTGCAAAATGTTAAGTTCTGTTTAGGTATGTACCTTATTTTGAAAAAGTTTTATAAAATATATTTCCTAAAAACAACCTCAACATTAGACAATAGAGGAAGAAGAAACATATCAGACAAAGCCTAATTTTTCACATGAGAAACTAAATATGTTCTTAAAGCTCCAGTAATACATTCCTTGAAAAAACTCAGAATGCACTTTGGTCATTATTAAACATATTAGAACATAGGCAAATAAAACAAAATGCTTTCTGTTGTTTTCTGTAGAAAGAAAACATACTACACAATGAGGCTGAATTGAGGCTGGTTAAAAGGAATGGTAAGAGCAAAGTGATATGACATGGCTCTGTTCTCCACACATTCCTGATTTTAAGATTATAATTTGGGAATTAGAACTGCACCAATCAAATAAATTATTTACAATGAATTATCTCAAATTCCTTAAAACATGGTAAAAACATGAGGATATTCAATATAATACACTTTGCACCAAGAAAATTCTAGATTGTTTCAATAAATTCTTTGTTTTAGAAACCAGATGATCAATTTAAAAAAAAAATCACAAAACATTTTACATTTCATGTAATTCCTAAAATACACTTGATTGTACAAATACAACAACTTAAAATCAAGGTCCAATGTAAGATACTATCATATTTGCCCTATTTACCTAACATGCCAACATGATAAGTTCTCATTGGACACTTGGCAAATTATTGAAGGGGGGAGCAGTTAACTTTCCAGGTTAAAAGCATCTAAAATAGCCCTTGTATAATGGAGGGTGTGGATGTGGATATGGGTGGGTAAGGGGATGCACCAGACTAAGTTTAGAGGATAGAATTTGCAAGCTGAAGCTGTCTTTTCTGAAAATTTGGATATAATTTTATAACTAGCACTCAAACGAATATTTCATTGGTTCTTACCTTATTCTTAAGTTGTTCATTTAAGTGTGGTATGAATAGCATACACTATAGTGTACCATGGGAGAAAATTATTTCACTTGAGTAAACATAATGTACTTTAGTAATATCAGTAGGCACTTCACTTGTGAGATGAGTATATACCTCACTCAAAAGGATACCACATCATGCCCTAGTACACTATAACATATCCCATATAAAGATACACATTAAAAGTAACAATTTTAAAAAGTGCACATTTTGAGCATGCACAGTTGGAGCTGTGCAAACAGCCCAGTGTTTCAAATAAATACAATTATTACTAATTAATTTTTATCAAAATATTTTACAGTATGGTAACCATTTACAATTATTGCTCCATTAAGAGTTTTATCATCAAAGAGCACTTGTTGACCTGTTATGTAATACCATATATATTAATACTGAAGGGTGCTTAAACTGCAGCTTAATCAGTTTAGATCCTGGCATTGTTCCTAAATATTTCAAGAGAAAACCTGAATGGATCTTGATTTACCCAATAAAATGCTGTATGTGTCCAATATAATATTCCAAAGTTAAAGGATTTTTCCTTAAGTAAGGCAATTTCATGGCATTGATGGAAAAACAGTGCTTAGCAATGGCTTCTATTTTCATAACATCTTATTTTGTCAATCATTTATGAGCAATTACCAGGATCTCAAGTATCTGGATATCAGTTTTATCACCCTTTCAACAACTAAGAACATAAATGCTTAACAATAAAATATAAAGATTAAAATAAATGTAAAAAAAACAGTGAACAGGTAAAATAAATATAAGAATTGCACAAGATAGTCTGATGTAAACACTTCAATTTCCCAGCGGAGACTCCTGAAGCAGAGTCGGTGACTGCTTTCAAGCAGCTTAGTCAGTACTTGTATTCTGGAAAAGAGGCTACATCTTCTTTTCTCTGAATTGTCATGATTTAATCTTCCACAACTAGAGAAAAAAGTAATAGAATTAATGACATTGGAGTTAGTTTCAGTATGAAAACTTAAATTATACCATATACTATTTTTTATCTAAATTTCATTCACAAACAAGTGCAGGTTCTAGWATTTTTAACTCCTCTCTTCTCTTTTCAAGAAAAACTCACCTTAAAAACAAACAAAAGGGTTAAAAACATACTTCTCATTTTCTTTTACAGGAAAGTACCAATATATGATCATTCTATATCTTAACAGTTGTGAATATATTGGCAGATATATGCATTGCTATATAGATAAGTAATACATCTTTTGGCCAACAATAGAAATAGGATTATTCCTTCTCTTTATCAGCAAAATTAGATTCAAACTATATGAGGGGAAACAAAAACACTTCCACTTATACCACATAACAGTCCATTATACAATGAATTCTGTTTCAAATTAGGAGTTCCATGAATGTCAGAAGCCATGAATATATATCATTCTTCCAAATTAAATGTGAAACTATTTTTATTAATTGTATACAATCTTATCAAAATTACTCCATTGCTGTGCATATGAGATTTCAAAAGAATGACAAGGTAAAAAAAGGCGACAAAAATGCAACAGAGTGCTAAGAGATTCGCACGCACGCCAGCTCTTACCTTTAAATTAAATCCAAGCAAGTCACTGATAACACCAGAAACAGCTGACAGGATGACAACCTGGGTGATATTATAAAGCAGTGGATTCATTGTAAGACCATATAATCTAAAGGGACTGTCCAACTCCTAGTCAAAGAGAAAAAAACATTAGCCTCAAATTCAATAAGAACTATCAGTTTAACTAATTCAGGACAAAATACAGCGAGGATTTAAAAGAACAGTGTTCCAAAAAAGTTACAAATAATGGATATTTTTTGAAAGTATAAACTTACTTAAACTTGAAATAAGTAAATTTTAATAATAGTTTTAAATTTCTTTTAAGAGAAAGTAACTTCCTTTAAAATAACTATAAATAAACTAAATTTGTAACCCCAATTGGTTACTAGACTGGTGTAGTAACTATAAGGAGGGTAGAGAAATGTTTTGGTATAAGAGCTGGAATAGAAACCGAAACAGAACAATATCTTTTTGCAGAAGAATTAGAAAGGTAGCCAAACTTTCAGACAATATCAACACATATGTCGAAATGCCTCTTTTAATCAATTTATTTTCAAATACACTGATTACCTGATTGGTTGGCTCAAAAATTTAAAGTTCTACTTATGCTAGATCCTGTACAGGTCTCTGCAAAGTTAAAAAACAATTCCTTAAGGAACTTACAGTTTAGTAAGCATGCAAATAATTTGAATGACAGTTCTACAACAAAGAAATGTATGAAAAGCAGGAGCCAGGGGAAGGTGGTTCTCAAACTTAGAGGGTGAAAGAAATTAGATATTTCAGACCACATATAGCAAGATGGTACATTTGAATTGCTACAGGTTGCTCAGCATTGTTGGAGCCTGAATATAAGAAAGTACTTTAAACTTGTAAGACTAGTAACTTAAGGATCCTTCCTTTATGGAGATTGTATAGATAGACTGACACTAAAGGAATTTAAGCATGTTAGAAAGATCACTATGTCAGCCATGTGCAAGATCAGTTAAAGAGCAGCAACACCAGGAGCAGGAATTCCTTTAAGGAGTTCTGTGTATTAAAAACTCAAGGGAGCAACAAGGGTCTTACACAGGGGAACACTGACAGGAAGAGGGAATGAATAAGATGATTATCTGAAAAGCTGAATTGATGGACCTTTGATTTCTTGGCTGTGAAACATGAGGCAGAATGTCTAATCTATATTAGGGTCCAGGTTTTAGACTAGGAGACTGTGTGTGATCAAAAAGAATCAAGAGAGCTGGAGGAAGTGGCGCATGCCTGTAATCCCAGAGGCTCAGGAGCTGAGGCAGGAGGATTGCAAGTTCAAAACCAGTCTGAGGAGATAAGCAAAAAATTCAGCGAGACCTTGTCTCTAAATAAAATAGGGCTGGGGATGTGGCTCAGTGGTTGAGTGCCCCTGATTTCAATCCCTGGTATCCCCCCCMAAAAATAAGGATCAGAAGTTGTGCTGTATTATAGGTATTTTTTAAAATTTTCTCTGCTCTAAAATTATAGCTGTTCATTAAGTCTCACCTTTGTAGCCTCCTTTGGTCCAATACAAGTCCTACATTCTGAAGATACCCAATATTCATGTATCAAGCAAACAAAAAACTATCAATTCTAATTATGGAGCTTTTTCCCATAGAGCATTTTGGCAAAAAACAGAATTTGCTTATCTTATCTAGTTTATTATTTAAATGTAACATCTTCTTTAGGATTCTTAAAGGAATTTGAAAAAGAAAGCAATTGGTAATTTGTAATTACTTGTTCTCTTAGCCCCTCATCCACCTCTTCTGAACTCATACAATTATGAGTATATGGTAAGGTGTACATTCCATATCCAATTAATTGTTTTTAGCTTACAGAATTAACCATACCATTGATACACAATTAATTTCAAACCAATCTTTGAACACTTACAAGTAATGCTGATGTATATTCATTATAGTGACTACTATTACTTTTGAACTCAAACCAAGCAAAAGACGGTTCTGAGAAATATAAAGTAAAAAAATTCCCAAGTTAATATCAAATCTTCTTTTTTTAAAATCTATTTTCTAGTGATGAGGAGGCATAAATTTCCAAAGATGCCACCTATACAATACTCTAAACATCGGTAAATTTTAATATATAATTTCCAGAGAATTTATTTTGATTATTTGAGCAATGAGAAGTAAAATAAAAATTGCATGCCTGTGCTCAAATATAATTTGGAAATAGTTTGAATAATCATGAAAACCAAATATAAGTTAAGATCTAAAGAGACTAAGATAAAATGTCTGAACACTATGTTCTATATTATATCCATTTTAAATTGTTCTTACCTTTAGTAGTTTAGTAGCCAGTTTTAAAACATTATTCACTAGTGTCAGTTCCTCCTTTTTATTAGGTTTTTTCTCCATTTTCAAGTAGAGGTTTATCTTTTATAAAAAAGAATAAACAAAAATATTTAAAATTATAACCAATACACTCTCTGTCTTAGTTTGCCAGGAATTGAACCTATGGCATCACACAGGCTAGGCAAGTGCTCTGCCACTGAGCTATATCCTCAGCCCCCAAGTATACATTTTTAAAAGGACTTGAAAGATATTCACCAAAATATTATAGTGGTTCTTTGAATATTGAGATTATATGTGATTTTAATATTTTTCTTTAGACTTTACTACACAGTCTCCTATAATAAATATTTAAGAATATAGAAAAAATAACATTTAAATGTTTCTAATGTAATTAAAAGTCAAAAAGAAAAGAAAATTGGATGGCAGATAGCATTATTAAAAAGATAAGACACTTATTCCCTGAGTCAAATCAACTTAAAAAATAAATAATGAAATTTTTTTTGCTGAGGCCAGCTTTGAACTCATGATCCTCCTGCCTCGGCCTCCTGAGTTGCTAGCATTACAGGTGTGCACCACCACACCCAGCTAAATAATAATGAATTTTTAAAAAATAAAATTATATTTCTCTAATAAGCCGTTAAAAAGAATAAATAATAACTAAACTAAATCAATTGGTTTGTAATTTCTTATTTTGAAAATAATTAAAAATTATTTGTGTATTTTTATTAGCCACTTTGTAACAGGCAATTTTAGGGTATCTGCCCTGTCCACATTTCCCTTCTTTGAAAACGCTAACTACAAACCTGTGGAGGAAACATCATATGGCAGCTGCACTTATCCACTTGATCCCACCTTCCCATCCCCAATATGGCAACCACAACCTCAATCAAAGCTAGTCAATGCACTGCGTTAGTGATAATACAGTATCTGCCAAATATTTTAAGTACGTGAATTGAAAAGTTAGTAAAGTTCAGGGCCAAACTCATATTGAGACAAACTCAACAGCATGTGTAAACCAAATTTACACAGTGGCAAATCTATAGAGAAGTCATGGGTCAGAAGATACAAAGAATAGCAGAAATGAGAAACCATTCACCTCAAAGTTAAGGAGGAGATGGCTGACTACGTCCAATTCTATGAAACCCAAGTATACTTTCTTAGAGTTCTTTGTTGGTTACTCTCCCTGTTCTCTTTAATTTAGCTCATTTGAGGGGGTTATTGACTCTTTAAAATCAAAGTATTCCTAAGGAAAATATTCAAACAAGCTCATTGGTAATATGTTTTTTATATAATTCTTATGAAATGGCAAGAGGAAAATATCCCACAAAGTCATACAAAATAAAATTAATCAATAAAATTATGCTTTAATCTTTATATTGAACAAAAATGCATATTTATTCCACAGGGACTCTACAAAGCAAATATACATAAATAATGCTTTAAAATCCATCATTTTCATAAAAAGTAATTCCTTCTTGACAAGTAAAAATGGGACATAAGAAAAGATTAGATTTGAAATCTGAATCAAGGCAGAAATATTAAAGAAAAATTTTGCCCTTATCAAATTTTAAGTTTGCTTTACAAAGATCTTCAACAAGTATATTCCTGAAAAACAAGAAGTAAATGAAAATATTTTAACATATTATATGTAGATTATAGAGATTAATTTGTAGCATAACAAACTCACCTGTTCAGTAAGTAATATTGAGGTATTGCTATATTTTTTACTTGTTTCTGATCCAAGAGTAACAAATCTTAAGAGAAAAAGTGTTAATGAGATGCACCAGATTACAAGTTCCCAATTGTAGTGACAATCAAGGAAGATCTCATGCACGTGAAGCAGCTAAAAGGGTATGGAAAAAGGCAATATGAAGCAGCAATATTATTCAAACCATTTCATTTTAAAAGAAAAATTAAACTTTATACAGTTTAATCATAAATGCAGTACAAAATTTTCAAAATATGTCTATTAATTATGAGATCTTTTAAGTACTCAAAAGTATAAATAATAATGTAATATATAGCCCTAGGTCCTCTACCCAAGTTTTGCCAAATTTTAATATTTTGTAATGTTTCAGATTTTTGAAAAATAAAACATTACAGATTTAACTGACACCTCTTTAAACTTGTCCTTGACTCTGATTTCTAACTGCTCCCTGAGGTAATAAATTTTGTGTTTATCTTTTCCATTGAGGTTTTTAATAGTATAGCTACATAAATATGCTGAAACTATGTTATGTATATCTTAAATTTTATATAAATGTCATCACATATTCCCATCATGCTTTCATGTGTGTCTTTATTTTACTGACTCTTTTTTCCCAAGACTTACCATGCTGATATCTTAGCTCTAAATTTGTTCATTCTAACTCATATAAAACATTACAGTAAGAGAATCAACCACAATTTCTTGGCCTATTCTTGTCACTTAACAATTACAGTTTTCCCTATTATAATCAATGCAGTAATAAACATTCTTGTGTTCCTTTGTCCACATATGCAAGGCTTCTTCTAGGAATTAATATCTACTTGTTCGGAGGTCACATCTTCAATTTTATCAGATACTGCAATTAGTCTTTAAAACAGTTGTACCAATTTATATTAGCCATGTATCAAATTTTATGTACCCTCATTTTTGTCTACACTTTCTTACATAACTTTTAATAAGTTTTTATCATATTTCTCCATAGGGTATTACTTATCTTGTGTTAAGATTTGTTCTTGGGAACCTACTATTTTTTCCTTGTTGCTACTGAAAATGACATATTTAGTTTTTGTACATGGCAGGTTCCAACAAATGATGGTTCACTGGCAAAATCTAGCTTAAGGACTTTTTCTGTTTGTTTTTGAGGTATGAATAACTTTTACTTTTTTTTCCATTAAGAATCGAGAAGAGGAATAAGAAGGGGAAACAGGAATATTTCAGGGACTCTGTGTGTCAGGCAAAAATCTAAAATATTTACTATATGGCCCATTATAGAAGTTTATAGGTTTGCTGGGAAATTCTGATTAATTTCACTTATTGACTTAGACATAAAATTCCTTAACTAAGTGACAGAGATAAAACCAGAAATTTTATAACAATATGCCATGATCAAGATAATTTATATTCTCAACCATGGAATTTTCTCAACCATGTATCAAATTCAGTTTTGCTCATTTTTGTCTACACTGGTTACTATCCAACTTCTTAACATCTGCTAATCCTTAGGAAGGATAAATGTTTCAGATATTTACTGGTTACTGGTCACTTTTGTTTCCACAAACAAATTTAGAAACAAAATTGACTTCTATGTTGATGTTATATATCTGTTGATCTTGATCTCCTAAAAAATATACCATGTTTTATTTGGTGGGGGGCAGATACCAGGGATTAAACTCAGGGGCACTTGGCCACTGAGCTACATCCCCAGCCCAATTTTGTATTTTGTTTAGAGACACGGTCTCACTGAGTTGCTTAGTGCCTTGCTTTTGCTGAGGCTGGCTTTGAACTCATGATCCTCCTGCCTCAGCCTCCTGATCCCCTACGATTACAGGTGTGCACCACCACGCCTGGCTATATCATGTTTTTAATCCATATCCAATCATGTTTTTAATCCATATCCATAAAGCTATATCCATAAATCCGTATCTATAAAGCCATCTGGATAGCCTACAGAGAAGTTCATAAAGTCTATGATTTTGTTTCTTCCAAAGTTCATATCATTTACCTCTCCCACCTTTGTTGGTTAGTATCCTCTATCAAAATGTTGACTAGAGAGGGTAACTTTGTCTTAATTTAAAGTACATAACCCTAAGGTAATATTATTCATATGTACAATGGTTGGTCCAAATTTTGAAAGATAAAAAGTTCATCAGATTAAGGACAGTACTTCCTAACACCTGTACTATAAATCTTCATTGAAAATTTAAAAATTGTTTTCTTCATTTGTTTAGATCGTGGAATGTTTTTGGCTCCTTTCATCAACTAAAGGATTTAAATTATTGGATTTTCTAAAGTTGAATATCTCTGCATTTCGGGGATAAATTATCTTGGTCACGTCATATTGTTTTTAATTTCTGGTTTTATCTCTGTAATACTGTTAAAGAATTTTATATCTAAGTCAATAAGTAAAATTAATAAAACTTCCCCATTGTCATACTGCTCTCTGGTATTGGTATTATAAAAAAAACAACAACTAAGAAACATTTCCTTTTTCTATTCTCCAGATCTTTTGTGTAAAATTAGGATCATATGTTTCAATGTATGATTAGATTCACTTGTAAAATCACATGRGTCAGGGCTGGGGCTGTAGCTCAGTGGCAGAGCACTTGCCTAGCACTTGTGAGGAACTGGGTTTGATCTTTAGCAGCATGCAAAAATAAACAAATAAAATAAAGGCATATTGTCCATCTACTACCACCACAAAAAATAAAAATAAAAAATTAAACATCTGGGTCAGAAGTAGTTTTGTTAATGGTTTTTTTTTTTCTTGGTGGAACTGGGCATTTAATCCAGTGGCACTCTATCACTGAGCTACATCCTCAGCTCTTTTTATTTTTATTAAAAATAATAATTGCCCAGACTGGCCTCAAACTTGCAATCTTCCTGCCCTAGTCACCCAAGTTTTTGGGATTACAATGGTATACCAGGATCCCAGCTTGTTAATGGCATATTTTTAAACTACTAAATAAATACTGCCTATCATTTTACATCCTCGGCTTTTAAATTACTTGTTGAGTCAGTTTTAGTAAAGTATGCATTTCTACAAAATTGTTCACTCATGCTTTCAATTTTAATGGCATAAGACAATTTGTATTATTTGAAATTTTCAATTGTGCCAGTAAGTTAGTTTAATACTATGCTTTTTCTTTGGAAAATTTATAAGTCTGTTTTAAACTACCTAAACGAGTAGGGCATGGTGGTGCATACCTGTAATCCCAGTGACTTAGGAGGCCAAAGCAGGAAGATCAAAAGTTGGAGGCCAGTTTCAGCAACTGAGCAAGAGCCTCAGCAATTGAGCAAGACACTGTCTCAAAATAAGAAATAAAGGTTGGGACTGTAGCCCAGTGGTAAAGCACTCCTGGATTCAATCCCCAGTACCATAAAAATAAAATGTCCAAGTATACGAGTTTCACKGTTGCTATCATTGTTTTCTAATTTGAGTGTATTATAGCTAGATCATGTGGTCTGTATGGCATCATTCTTGGTTATTAGTTGAAAATTATTTTGTGGCCTAATACATGGGAAAGTTTTTATAAAGTGTTCTTGTGCCTGAAAAAAAAAATCTCATTAATTCAGAAAAATTCAGGTACAATGGTACACGTCCATAATCCTAGTGATTCAAGGTCTGAAGCAGGAGAATCACAAGTCTGAGGCTAGCTTCAGAACTTAGTGAGATCCTGTGACAAAATAAAAAATTAACAAAGGGCTCAGGATGTAGCTCAGTGTTAAAGAACCTGTGTGTTTGATCCCTAGTAACACACATACACACACAGAAGAGAAAAACTCATAACCGTTATCTCTAAATATTCCACTTTCTGCTATTCTTTCCTCCTAGAATTCCTATTAGACATGTGTTGGATTTCCCACCTATGTCTCAATGTTGTTTTCACATTTTCTATCTCTTTGTCTTTGTCCTAGATTTGAAGTCATTTCTTTTTCTCTCTGTTCACTAAATGTATCTTTCGCTGTTTTTATGATATTAATTCTGTTCATTGTGTTTCTAACATCAATGACAGTATTTTTCATTTTTCTTAAGTATTATTTGGTTCTTTTTCAAATCTATCTCTGTTCTTTTCTCACAGTGTTATCAAACTTTTTAACCATTTTTGACAAAATTACTGTTTCTGATCAATCTATTAACTGAAACAGCTGGAGATCTAATCCTGCTATTGACATGCTGACTCATGTTGGATTTTTTTCTTCAAGAGGCTTTATCTGTGGAAATCCTACAATGTCTAGGCTGAAGTCACATCCCCCAAAACAGTCTTGGTTCTGTTTCTGCTAGACATCAAGGAGCCTAGGGCCACTTTTTATATTAACTTCTTGACATAGGAATTATAAGATAAGATATATAGTGCCAACCTGAACCCTAAATCTGTAATAAAGCAGACCTACAATTATATATATATTTTAAATATTTATTTTTTAGTTGTACACAATACCTTTATTTTGTTTATTTTTACGTGGTGCTGAGGATCGAACCCAGGGCCTTGCACATACAGACGAGCACTCTACCACTGAGTCACAGCCCCAGTCCAAATTATATATTTTTAAGAGAAACATTTCCCCCTCCTTGTCATACAGAGTCATACAAAGCTTCCTTGTGGTGGGCAGACTATTTTTCTTATCTACTTTCTCACTGAAGCTGGAGGCTTTTGAAGGTTCTGACTTCAAAGATATTCATACCAAACATATTCTGGTATGAATATGTTTAAAGTAGTACGCTAGACAAGCCCTCATTGCTATCCTCATGTGCGCATAAAATTTCAAGTTTATAGGGTACTAAGATTGACAATGCACCTCACTTTCTTCACCTGCCATAGGATTAATGCATATACATAATTGCTCTGCTTTTCAGTTTTACCTTCATTTTTAATCTTTTATCATCTTGTGTATTTGGATATGTACATTAAAAAGCTCAAATAGCAGGCTGGGGTTGTAGCTCAGTGGTAGAGCACTTACATAGCACATGTGAGGCACTGGGTTCAATCCTTAGCACCACAGAAAAATAATGAAATAAAATAAAGGTATTGTGTCCATAAATTTTTTTTAAAAAGCTCAAATATAAAAACCAACATATGTACATGTGTGTTTATCTGTCTACTGATCACGACACAGAGATAAATAAAATATATTTACTCATTCCACTGGAAAAAAAAATTGCAAAAAGTCAGTTTCGAAACTTACTGTTTAGGCTTACTTACATTATTACTTTATTATTAGAAAGCCTTCTGAAATAATGTTTAGTATCTGATATTTAATTTCTATCTAGAACAAGTCAACTCACCTGAGCACAACAGATAAATACAACTGAGATAGTCAACAAGAAAGCAGATGAAACTATTACATCAACTGATCTCTGAGGACCTCGACGCTAGGGAGGAAAAAAAAAAAACACTTTTAAATATATTTACTAATTAGCAGCTAATTTCCATTCTTTCAATAACTGTGTTGATCCATCACTGCAGATTGGTCATAGTTTATAATGCTGAAAATATMCCTAACTTTTCAGATAAATTTTAATTACAAAGTGTTAAAATTTCCTGCCAATTTGCAATATACTAAAAATACTATCCACACAGCATAGAATTGTTAGTATACCTTTCAAATATTTTTGTCAAACACAATAATCATTTATTCAACAACTGTTTCTTGAGTGTCTKTTCAAAGTGAGGCACTGTATTATGCATAATAAATATAGCCAAGAACAAAACAGGCATGGTCTCTACTGTCACAGGAACTAGTAGGGGCGTGTAACATCAACKTGTAATTACAAATATATACGTAAGCTGTGATAAAGTGCTAGGAAGGAAAAGTAAAGATGGGTTGCTTTAAGATAACACTCAGGGAGACTTAGTTTAGATTTGGGGGCTATGAATATGGACCTGGGACCATCTCCCTGAGGAAGTGATAGTTTTACACCAAACTAAGGTGCAGGGGAAGGATGACAGATATCAGCGCTCTAGGCAAGAAAGAAGAATATGTGCAAGTGCATAAAGCAGGAAGGATCATAGTGTATTTAAAGAACTGAAGCAGTCTAGAAAGTTAGAGAAGTTATTTCAAAATGAGACAAAAGAGGTGACAAAGTAGGGCCTATGTCATAAATAGCATCATAAGCCATATTAAGATTTTGATTTTTATCCTAAAATCAATGGAGATCTTCCAAAAAGTTTTAAAAATTCTATGATTATATGAATTAAAGATTTCTTCTGACAGGTTGAAGAAAGCACTGGAGGGAGTATATATGAAATCTCAGAGGCCAGTTAAGAGACAAATGCAGTAGCAGAAATTGAATGATGATTTCATTTAGGGTGGCAGAAATGAAAACAAAGAGGAAAAAAATAATAAGATATATTCCAGAAGTAGAAAGGATAGGAATTGGTAATATTGAATACTGGAAATCAAGAGAGGAAAGCTAGTATCAAGGATAATTTCTAGGGCTGGGCTTACATGATTTCCTTATAGAAACATAAGCTCCTAAGGGCAAGGACTTTGATCTAAACAATAGTAAATGGCACATGGTTAACATTTAAATAAACATTACTATTACTATATAAAATCATCCAAGTACCAAAAATAAATGTAATACCTACTTAGAATTCTTTCAAAATTTCCCATCATTAGCAATCCTAAGTCAAGCAACAGAGATCATATCTATCCTCTCCATACATCCCTCACAGTAAGAAAAAAAAATCGATTCCAATTTTTAGCATTTACCAATGAAGACTAACAAACTAAACAGAAAAACAATTTTAAAAAAATATATAAAAGCAAGTAGTGCAAACTTTTTCTTTTTCTCTTTTTTTCTTTTCTTTTTTCTTTTTTTTTTTTTTTTTACTTCTTTCATTGTTACTTCAAAATAAAAAGCATTAAAGATCTAGGTATGTCAGAGTTTACTTGTCTTTGAGTCAATTTTAGTAACAGTGTTATTAAACATCCTTGAATTTGCATGATTATTCCACATATAATAAGATTCATTACTATTTAGTACAATAACCAAAAAAAAAAAAAACAGAAAAAAACTATTGTTTCTAAGACTAACTCAGATGTTTTCTTTTTCCTCTAGAATTTTCATATCTTAATTCCATAAATGAGAGAATTACTTGAAAGATTAAAGAAGAGAACAGCATGAAACAAATGACTTAGAACCACAAGCTAATATTTTAAAACATTAATAGGTCACATCAATAAGGAGACTCATTGGTTATGCATTTTTCAAGATTCTTTTTTAAGTGGTGGGCTCCCTCTGCTGGTTGTGATTATCATTCTAGGTGGAAACATCCTTAATTCAGTACTTGAATGAGGAATTGGAAACTATACATCAATAGACACATACATATTGACAAAGAAATTGGAATTATTAAGGAAACCAGCATGTAAGAGTATTTTTATCACTATTATTTATTTCTACCTTAAGATAGGAACGGAGAGAGAGCCACATTTTTATATTCTGTACTTTTTTCAGCCGGAAATGAGGAACCTCAGATTTTCGTGCCCTCCTTGCAGATGTTAAATGTCCAAAGAGTTTTGCAAAAAGCAATCGCTAAGAAAAATAATTAAGATGAGGATTAATTTTCAAGTAGATTACCACAGAAAGTCAAAATATTGATTATTTTTATTTTTTATGTACTATAAAAGCAAAATAAAAATAGGTCAAATGATCTAGTGAAACACTAAAATACTTCAAGAATACTTTGGACATTATGAAAAGGATATTATGTTCTCTATTCAGAAACCTACTTTATACCCACCTGTTTATAAGTTCTTTCTGCTACACAGAGCAAGAAAAAGAAAATCCATACAAGAGACACACGAACCACAAAACTTATTATAACCATAGAAAGAACCATGACATCTTCATTAGAACCAAATGCAATCACATAAAGTTCTGAAGCAGAATGTGCTGTGAGTTGTTCCAAGTCTGTAGCTTGAGAGAGTCGGAAAACAAATGGGGTTAAACCCAGGATTAGAGAGATTACATTTCCAAAAATCTGGTATCCTATTCCTGGTATATGGCTGTTCACCTTGAGAGAGCCAGAGGGAGAGAGGAAAAAAGAAAAAAATATAAATATATTTTATCTAAAGTAACATGAACTCTTATTGAGCCTTTATATAACAACAGGAAATAATTTTGTTAAATTTTATTAGTTTTAATACATGAAAAATGAAATGTGAGAGTTTACTACATATAGACTATAAGTCATTTATTTCTTCAGTTTTTAAAATCGTTACATCATTAGGTAGATGCAAAAKGATTAACTRTCTCATATATTAGATGTTTAAAAATCATTCACATCTCATTAGTTTTAAAGCTAGAAATATTCAAATATTGCAATATTAAAAATGAGATTTCATACACTTAAATTTGATTCTTTAAGAAAAAAAACCCTAAAGCTATATTTATCTGATAAATTTCTACCTTGTGTTTTTCATTAGAGTTCAATATACAAATAAATGTTTCCTTAAAACCAGTTTAGAAAAAAGAGCATGACAGAAAGCATTAAATAGAAAGATGAAGAAAATCTAAGGAGATTATTAAAAATGAGAAATATTAAATAATGGAAAAATATGAGTTTCCAATATGCTAGGCTGGTAGAACTGCAAGGATCTTAAATACCATATAGCTAACTTTTCTCATATACTTTAGGTAAATAAGATTGTTCTAAGTTATGTACCCATTCACAGATTGTTAGGCTACAGAACACCACTATATGCAAGTCTCTAGAACCTCCCTAGTCGATTGGTTTCAATTATTCACACTGAGGTATGAAATAGGGAGCATATTAATTTCTAGATCCAGTTACTTTAATTCTTGTTCTGCAAAAAGTAAAGACTAGACTTCTAGCATTAAAATGTACCAAAGAAATTCAGAATTGAAAGTTAAATCATACCTAGTTGTCTAAAGAAATCAGGAAAATTTTAATAATTATCTTATAAAGGAAATAGTTTAATAGAAACTGAAATTAAAATCCATAGCATTTGTACTATACTTCTTCAAACTTCAATATTTTGACCAATGTCTGCATTACTTCTATATATTTAAGAAAGCAAGCAAGAACAAATATAAATTTTCTACTTCAATTTTTTTTAAATTTTAGGTTCTAATAAATATATGAACCAACAAAGACAATACAGAAAAATAAGTCTTCATCAACACCTGTTGATTAAGTTTCTCAGTTTTATCCACTGAAAGCAAAAAAGACAGTAACATAAAACAGGAAAATTTTACACTGTATTCTATTCTTATTACACTRTATTCTATTCTTATTACATCTATTCTTAGAGAAATAAAAATGCTTTTTAAAAGATTAGAGTGATTTTATACCAAAATAATTGTTTAAATCATAGATGGAGCCAAAAACATACAAATAGCTATTTTTTTAGGGTGAAGGCAGGAGGCAAGCAGGTAATTATTCCAGTAATTATTTTTTATATTGACAACCAATAATTTTACCCTTGAATTAAAAGAATAAAAATTTAAAACTCACTCTGTTCATTATCATTCCACTGATTTCAAGTACAGACATGTCTGCTTTCTTACAGTCATTGCCTTCCCATACTATAGCGCTTATTTTTTCTAATCCTGGGTGGGAGCTATGAAGCCAGGGCACATGACTCTACAAAAAATAAATAGAAATTGGTGGATCTATGTATCACATTTCATAAATTAAGAGTATGTATATAAAGTTATATATAGCTACATATACAATTTTAACTATGTTAAAATAAAAATTGATAAATACATTTACTACTTTTTTATTTTTTATTTTTTTATTAGTTGCTCAAAACATTACAATGATCTTGACATATCATACATTTGATTCAAAACATTTACCATTTTATAAATGGAACATAAATATCTGTGCATTAGCTCTAACTATATACACATGATTTTAGCTACAATAAATTCTAACTTAAATTTATTTTATACATTGAACAGATGGCATAATTAATTATATAGTTATAAAAATGTAGAACCTTTCTATGATAGATATTAGGCAAACTATCATTCAAAAATATATTAAAATGTGTCAGCAAAACTACTTGCCAATCAGTCTATATAGCTTCCAATATACTAATATTAAAAGACAAATGGATGTCAAATTGTCCATAATGATCAGTGTCCAATTTATTATCAATGAATACAAAATATGATAGCAGAAGTTTGAACCTCTTAGAAAGACTAAATAGTGATATAATTTCATCCTGAAAGAGATTCTTCCTCATACTTACCTTTATATTTGATTTAGTAACTTTTCTGATATTTGAATCTAGAATTTCTCCAAAGGATCAACTTAAGTTGTTTTGGTCCAGATTAGAGAAAACATTGTAAGCTGAAGCACAGATAACTAGAAGTATTGTCTGAAGTAGAATAAAGTATCTCTCAATGTTTCAAAGAATAAAAGAAAAATTGAAAACTTTATGATGAAGAATCAGATACTTAAGGTTTAGATCTATAATTAAAAGAATAAAACCTCAAAATAGGATAGCTGTATTAAAAATAGCAAGATGATTAATGAAACACTAACCTCAATGTAATTAGATCTTGAGAAGAAAAGTAACACTAAAAGATATAAGACCCAAAGTAAGAAGAATTTATTTGTATATATCACAGAATTTGTGACTTATAATTTTTCTAACAGGTTGATATACTTCCCATATCTTATAATAAAAAGGGTAGGTAGGTTTGCCATTCATAACAAACCTCAGGGAACTAATCAATAGATCTTTTGACATTCTAATATTTAAATTTTATAACATATCTCATTAAAATAACTTCTAATGATGAACAGAAGACTATTCTAGCTATATCAACCTTTGGAGAGTAAAAAATAGGATTAAAATATGGTAAAGAAATGTTTCTGTAAATTTAAGGAATATAATTTTTCGTCTAGTGGGAGTAAAGTTTCACTGATTCATTTCAACTGAAGTTGACAAATAATAATATAATAATATATAAGAAAACAGAGATAGAAAATTTTTATCTTTTCCAAAGATGTAACTATAATATACATTTACTTTTATGCTATATATTTCACTATTTGAGAACTTTAAGAGTTGGAAGATACTAGTCATTAACTATCAACTTAATTCCAACACATGATGTTTCATAATTTATTTCTGAAATATTCTAATTTGGGAAATAATTCACACCAAAATATGTTATCAAACTTTCTCTGAAAATTTAATAATAGTGAAACATAATGGAAACAACACTAGGAAACAAGAACCTGAATGGAAAGAGAGTTAAGCTTGGGAGGTAACAGATTTTAACTAGAATTATAGACTTTTTTATATAAAAAAAAAAAAACTCTTAGTCTATATATAACAGGAGTTAAAGGTCTTCCTGATTACCTTAAAGAAAGGTATAACAATAAGATTGATTGACCTGGACACAGAAATAGAATATCAAGGAGTTCTTTACTGTCCTTCCAAAAGTACTTATTTTGTATCCAATTACCTTACCAGTTACTCTAACCAACCTTTGCTCTCATTTTCTTATTCTAGAAAATCAAAATGTAAGAGAATTTTAGAAGTTAATTAAAAGAACTCTTGTTTCCCTCTCCCCATATTAAATATATAATGAAAAACAATCTTGTTGAAACATGTGAATGGAGAACAGATGAAACACACACCCTTTTTCTTTTTCAATGATTTCCACTATAAAGCTTTTTGTGAAATACAGTTTGAAAGACTGGAAGATTGGCTCAATCTAGTGATTTCTTTCTTTTTTTTTTTTTTTTTAAAAATCCATTTATTTATTCTAATTTGTTCCACATGACAGCAGAATGCATTTCAATTCTTGGTACACATATAGAGCACAATTTTTCATGTCTCTGATTGCACACAAAGTAGAGACACACCATTCATTTCTTCATACTTGTACTTAGGGTAATGATGTCCATCTCATTCCACCATCTTTCCTTCCCCCATGCCCCCTCTCTTCCCCTCTGCCCTGTCTAAAGTTCCTCCACTCCTCGCTTGCTCCACTGCCCCATCCACATTATGGATCAACATGTACATATCAGAGAAAATATTGGGCCTTTGGTTTTTTGGGATTGGCTTACTTTGCTTAGCCTAATATTCTCCAATTCCATCCATTTACCTGCGAGTGCTATGCTTTTATTCTCTTTTATTGCTAAGTAATATTCCATTCTGTATATATACCACAGTTACTTTATCCATTCATCTACTGAAGGGCATCTAGACTAGCTTCACAATTTAGCTATTGTGAATTGTGCTGCTATAAACTTTTATGTGGCTGCGTCCCTGTAGTATGCTGTTTTTAAGTCCTTTGGGTATAAACTGAGGAGTGGGATAGCTGGGTAAAATGGTGATTCCATTTCAGGTTTTCCAAGGAATCACCACACTGCTTTCCATATTGGCTGCACCAATTTGCAGTCCCACCAGCAATGTATGAGTGTGCTTTTCCCCCCACATCCTCAACAGTTACTGTTGTTTGTATTCTTAATAGCGCTATTCTGACTGGAGTGAGATGAAATCTTTGAGTAGTTTTGATTTGCATTTCTCTAATTGCTAGAGATGATGAACATTTTTTCATATATTTGCTGATTGATTGTATATCATCTTCTGAGAAGTCTGTTCAGTTTGTTGGCCCATTTACTGATTGGGTTATTTGGTTTTTAGTGTTTAGTTTTCTGAGTTCTTTATATATCCCAGAGATTGGTGATCTATCTGATGTGTGTGTGGTAAAAATTTACTCCCAAGATGTAGGCTCTCTATTCACCTGATCGTTTCATTTGCTGAGAAGAAGGTTTTTAGTTTGAATCCATCCCATTTATTGATTCTTGATTTTATTTCTTGAGCTACATGAGTCTTATTAAGGAAGTTGGGGCCTAATCTGACATGGTGAAGATTTGGGCCTACTTTTTCTTCTATTAGGTGCAGTGTCTCTGGTTTAATTCCTAGATCCTTGATCCACTTTGAGTTTTGTGCAAGGTGAGAGGGGTTTAATTTTATTTTGTTGCATATGGATTTCCAGTTTTCTCAGCACCATTTGCTCAAGAGGCCATCTTTCTCCAATGATTTTTGTGCCTTTGTCTAGTATAAGATAACTGTATTTATGTGGGTTTTTTTTCCATGTCCTCTATTCCGTATCACTGAACTACAAGTCTATTTTGGTGCCAATACCATGCTGTTTTTTGATACTATTGCTCTGCAGTATAGTTTTTAAGGTCTGGTATAGTGATGCCACTGCTTCACTCTTCTTGCTAAGAATTGCTTTGGCTGTTATGGGTCCCTTATTTTTCCAGATGAATTTCACGACTGCTTTTTCTATTTATATGAGGAATGTCATTGGGATTTTGATTGAGATTGCATTAAATTTGTATAGTGCTTTTGGTAGTATAGTCATTTTGACAATACTAATTCTGCATATCCAAGAATAAGGAAGATCTTTCCATCTTCTAAGGTCTTCTTTTATTTCTTTAGCATTCTGTAGTTTTCATTGTAGAGGTCTTTCACCTCTTTTGCTGATTCCCAAATTTTTTTGTTTGTTTGTTTTTTGTTTTGAGGCTATTGCAAATGGGGTGGTTTTCCTAGTTTCTCTTTCAGAGGATTTGTCACTGATGTACAGAAATGCCTTTGATTTATGGGAATTGGTTTTATATCCTGCTACTTTGCTCAATTCATTTATTCTAGAAGTTTTTTGGTAGAATTTTAAAAAATTAATTTATTTTGTTATGTATGATAGCAGAATGCAGTTCAATTCATATTACACATATAGAGCACAATTTTTCATATCTCTGATTATACAAAAAGTAGAGTCACACCACTTATTCCTTCATACATACACTTAGGGTAATAATGTCCATCTCATTCCATCATCTTTCCTACCCCCATGACCCCTCCCTTCCCCTTCCTTCCCTTTGCCCTATCTAAATATCCTCCATTCCCACATTTCCCCCCCTCCAAAACATGGTACATTATCTTTTAATATATTTTTAAATACAATTTGCAGAATTTTATTGAGAATTTTTGCATCTACATTCATTAGAGATATTGGTCTGAAGTTTTCTTKCTTTGATAGGTCTTTGTCTGGTTTTAGAATTAGGGTGATATGGGCCTCATAAAATGAGTTTGGAAGAGTTCCCTCTTTTTCTATTTTGTGAAATAATTTGAGGAATATTGGTATTAGTTCTTCTTTTAAGGTCTTATAGAACTCAGCTATGTATCCATCTGGTGCTGGGCTTTTCTTGGTTGGTACACTTCTGATGGCATCTTCTACCATTGCTAGAAACTGATCTATTTAACTTGTGTATATCATCCTAATTCAGTTTGGGCAAATCATATGACTCTAGAAATTTATTGATGCCTTCAATATTTTCTATTTTATTGGAGTACAAATTTTCAAAATAATTTCTAATTATCTACTGTTCTATAGTGTTCATCATAATATTTCCTTTTTCATCACAGATGTTAGTAATTTGAGTTTTCTCTCTCCTTCTCTTTACTAGAATGGCTAAGGGTTTATTGAATTTATTTATTTTTTTCAAAGAACCAACTTTTTGTTTTGTCAATTTTTTAAATTGTTTCTTTTGTTTCAATTTCATTGATTTCAGCTCTGATTTTAATTATTTCCTGCCTTCTGCTTTTG